GGTTGCACAACGAACTTATGGGCTGTTGACCAATATCGTGTAATAAGAAGTCCGTGTAGTCGGAAGGATGTCGGATTTAACTCCGTGTAGTATGGGAACCGTGTACCCAAGTGCCGTGTAAAACGAGGGTCTACTGTATATATATATACACATATATATACATACATATATATATACACACATATATATACATATATATATATACATACATACAGACGCACATATATACATACATACACATACACATATATACATCACACACACACCACCTACATATATATAAAAACACTCACATATACTCACATACATACAACTATATACATATATATATATATACCTTTGAAAAATATATTTTTAATCTTAACTACTCAAATTCTAATAAATACTACATACTTTAAATCTGTCATCGCTGTGTTGAAGTCATGAAAGACTTCTGGTAAAGTAATGGCATTCATAGCAGCCTCTCGATGTTCTTCAGGTAAATCAACCATTCCAGGGCGAAATGCCATCTAAAAAATAACATTTTAGGAACTGATAAAATTAACTTTTCACTGAACCATAGAAATATAACAGCAAAATGCTACTTAATCAAGTATGTTAGTATCACTGACACACACTCTATATGAAATATTGCAAAATTACAGATTACAATTCACAACTCAATGCACTATCTATTTCACGTCAATTGAACACAATAAATATCATGAACTTTACCTTAATCTTAACGAATGCTTCATTGCAATCAGCAAGTAAATACTTTGCTTTTCGAGAGTATATTCTTACAACTCCCAGCAACAAATGTCCTGTTGTTCTCAAAGCCATTTTAACTTTAGGCTGTAAAATTCCATCAACTGATGATTCAATATTAGTTTCGAATACATGGGCTTTTGTTAGCTTCTTGTCCCAATGAGCAGCTAACCAAATCCGGGCCAAAGGCCCTTTCTTTGATAGTACAAAATGCGCGTAAAACATTTTGACCTAACTGTAAAACATAATTTAAAATTAATTTTAGGTCATGATATTAATAGAATAATCAACTATTTGTTTGGTATGCTTGAATATAATTCATTTTCACGCTGACAACAAAAATGCACTGACAGCAACTGTTGGCGCCTATTTAGGTAGGACCAAAATATTGAGGTAAAAATCATCATTCACAATGCAAATCGGAACTTACGTTTGTAAATCACTTTTTCTAAGTATAATTGAATAGTTGTGCACTCATATATGCGTTATTTTCCATCACAATTAGTAGGACAATATATGACAAACAATAGCATTACAAAACACGAATAAACACTCATATTATACCAACTGGCATACTACAACAAAATGGCGATTGATGGCGTATATCATATTTTCGACAAACCACAGAGGGCACTACGCGTTCTATCTTTATTTATTAGGGAACGACACACTGCAACCAATTCAAATTGCGCAATGCACTCGTTTTTTTCTAAATGTTTTATTAATTACAGGACACATGCATGCAATAACATAAAGTAAAACGTCAAAAAATTCAAGCCGTAAACGTTCTTTTGTTTTTATGCATCCACCATTTTTTTTTTCATAAAAGATAACATTTTTGGCAAGTTTTGATAATAGTTTTTATTTAATAGTTTTTCTTTATTAATTGACAGTTTCATTAATTAAATTAACACTTATTCAGTAACAGAAGAGATTTTGAATAAAATATAATAATAATCATTTAGATAAACGCAACCTGTTGAGATACTCTCACATTTAGAATGTTTTGGTTTCAATCAGTTCTACTTTAATAACATACAATACGTGACAGTAAATATCCATCTACTCTGGTCCAATTTTAATTTACAGTTATTTTGTAATGACTATTAAACTGGATTCGTGATTTATTTTATGCGTACATTTAATTTAGTTTTTATTTTATTTTGCTGATGAACCATGGAACAAGCAGGTATATATTTTTATAGTATAATAATTGTCCTTTATCTTGAGAGTATTTTTATTTTAGGTTTTACGCGAACACAAGGTGATGGAATGGAATTCAAGTTTTCTCCGGAAAAAATTGAATATAAAAATGACCATAACTCTCCTGAAGATAAAAAATTCATTTAGTTCCTGGTTCATTAATTAGGTTAAATCGTTCTGTATATAATAACTATAAAAAAAAGGAGCCTAAATTGGTACTTTATGAACCATATAAAGCTGCAGTGAAACCAATAGTTCCCAAAAATCATAAAAACATTATAAGTCTAGAAAAAAAGAAAAGAAAAAATCTTGACTGTAACGAGCTCGTTTCACAAATACTGTTAATGAGTAATAATGAAATAAATTTACAAAAAGGCATTCCTATGACTTGTGTTAAACCAATAGCTAAAACGAAAGATAAACCATTGGAAACATTAAAATCTGATAATGACAAACAAAATTTACTATCTGAAGTATGTTTTTTGAACAACACAAAAAAAAATATTTATGACACCAAGTTTTTTTTGTTTACAGATAGATTACCTACGAGATGAAAATTTAACATTAAAAAGCCAATTGGCTTTTCAAGCACAAGTCAATGCAGAGCTAAAAACCATGTTAGTAGCAGCTGTTGGTGAAGATGTTGAGACGAGAGTTCATTTATTAACAGAAGACAAATTACATTTAGCCGAAGCGTTATTGAAAAGTGTTGAGAACTTATCCACTCATCAGGTGCGTATCAATTGCAAAATTTTTTTTTATATCGTAATAGTGATTATAACATATGAATTTCATTAGGAACAAATTGAATGGCTTGCAGGACAGTGTGAAGTGTGGCGAAGTAAATTTCTAGCATGCAGGTTTTTAAAACATATAGTATTAATTTTGTATTTGCAAATGATATATTTATTCTGTGTTTTTGCTTTAAAGTCTGATGGTTCAAGAACTTGCCAATTCTAAACAGACTCTCACACAAAGAGTGAACGAACTAACGGAATCATTGAAGTGTTTGTTATTGGAAACGCATTATGTTAGGGATAAACAATGCGTCACCTTACAAACCTTGAATAAGATTATAAATGCAGAAACAATTTCGCCAGTTTTGAATTTTTTAGATTCTAATGGCAAGTGCCAAGATTTTTCACAAATTGCATTTGAAAAATGTAAAGGAATTATTGAACTGCATGAATCATCGAATTATACACCAATATTTTGTAATACACCAGCGGAGGCTTATGCTGAAAAGGTATATTAATGTTATCATCAATATTTAATTGTGTTATCAATGTTTTCATAATATAAAATTGCAGCTACTAACCAATACACTGCAAGTTAAAGGAAGTGAAGCTATTTGTAATGCTGTTGTATCGACAGCAAACTTGATATCAAAATGATAAGACTAACTATAAACACATAATAAATAACACATAGAAATTTTGTAAATATTATTGAAGAAATGTGAACTGAATAAATGTTACAAATGATATATGACAATACCTGAAAGCATTAGAAAATTATTGAATGAAAATATATAAATTAATAATCTTGATTTTCAATTTTTTTTCTTACAATTTAATAAGGTACCAACTATTTTCTTGATAGAAAAGAGTACACTTTGCAAGTGTTTTACAGGTGCTAAAAAACTTTCTCTCAAAAACTTATTCTTTTTCAAAATGGATTTTTTTTTGCCAAAGAAGATGTTTGTTGTATAATGTAACTTTTATTTTGCATATCAAATCTGACTGTTTAGATGGCAGATGATGTTTTTACAGAAAGCTGTGACTTCTCACTGTATAATAATCATTCCGCAGTGAAATAAAATATTCAGAAATATAAAGGAGTATTAAAATAATAAAGATGAAGAGAATAGAATTTGAAAAGATTTTAATAATTAAGTTCTTAATTAACTTTCTGTAGTTTAAGTTATAGTAATCGAAAATGAAAATGTTTGCATATCTTTACGTTTCATTGAGTGTGTGTAGTATGTTCGATGATTTTTTGTGAATGATTTCAAGAGCACAGATCAACCGATTTGAATGATTAAAAAAAACTTTCGATTCCAATTAATGAGAAGATTTGCTGATTAGTGATACGGAGCAAAGAGTGCAGAAAATACAAATCGAGTTTTTGAGAGAACGGGGCATCCGATTTGAATGATTCAAAAGACATTCGATTCCTATTAATGGGAAGATGTGGTGATTAGTTTTTGGCAAAGGCAGGTCCAATTTACAGGGCAAAAAATGGCAATTCCATTTTAGAGAGAATGGAGCATCCAATTAAAGTGATTCAAAAAGCGTTTTACTTATTGACTATATTTTTGGAAAGGCAGGTCCAACGGTTTTGGACGTAGAGATAAAAGACTCTAAAAATGACCTTAAAAACTGTCTGTTATATATTTATAGGAAAGTAGAATTTTTTTTTCATTTCTTAGGGTTCCGTACCAAGAATTATAATACCGTTTATCGGCTGATTTATAAGCACCTATATTTGGCCTATAAAATACGAATATCATAATAATCTATTTGAAATACGAATAATTTGATAATAATTTGTTTGAAAATATTTAAATTAACCGTTGATAAATGTTTGTTTGGTGCGGAAATTTCCTGAAGGCACCACTAGTTAGTTATTTCAATTGTTTTAGAATATTATTAATATATAAGAAGTCGTTCCTTTGTCTCGAGCGGTAGTCAGATATTGAATTTCGATACTCCTTTCCCACGGAGCCATTAATCTTCAAAAACAACCTGGCTAATGAATGAATCATGAATGCATGGTCGATTGTGTGTTAGTAATTAGTAAACAAATTGATAATATTTATTGAACGCAAGACGGACAGGACAAGTGTATCGTTTGGCAGGAAAAGAAGAAACAAAACAAACATGAATTGTTTAAAATGCTTAGAGTGAGCGAGCGAGCGACTTTCATTGTTTAATCCAATCGTTGTTATATGTTATATGTTTTGTACGGAGGTAGTGGATTTATGGAGGTATGGAGGTATGGAGGTATGGAGGTATGGAGGTATAGAGGTATAGAGGTATAGAGAGGTATGAAGGTATTGTTCGTGTTCGTGTTGGTGTTCGTATCTTGGTATTCGTACTTCGCATCATATGATGATGATGGCCGCTGCAAATGTGTGTTAGTTGCCGTCGCCGCTACGGGTCGTTTGGTGGTGTTGGTGAGCGTAGTACAGCTTGTCTCTTGCTTGTGTTCCCCAGCGTGTCCGTGTCCATGTATTCATTCCGTCTATTCTGTGGAGTGTATTCAATTGACTGTCAAATGCAGTCCGACTAAAAAGTGCTAGATGATAGCACCGATTCAAGTGCAACAATATTTTTTTAAAATTAAACATAAGTGCCAGTAAAGGTAGTCAAGCAGCCAGTCATCGGCTTGCACTTCTTTACTTTGATTATGTCGAGTGATTTGATATGGTTATCATCAAATCATTAGGTATGTTGACATTTCGGAAGCGCGTGTACTCTAAATGAATGGAACTCATGAATGGAACACGAGGGTTCTGTGGAAAAAGACTAATGCTATATAAAAACTATTATGTGATAGGGAATATAGTGTATTCTAATCCAGTTTGGGATGGCTACCGGCGGCCCGGAGCCTGGGCCGTCGGAGAGCTCGCGGAGTTGTGACTTAAGCCTTCATGGCTTTTCGGAACAACCGTGGTCTGTGTTTGCGGCAGCCCTGGGCCGAGATCACCCGATAAGTAAGAACCTATTTACCTATTTACTAAATACGCCATAAGACCACGCTTATTTTTGGGGATTCGCTCATTCCATGAAAAAATCATGATGAGCGAAACACCGCCGTGTTCTTTGTTACATAGAAATTGAATTGCTACCTAATTATCAGATGTGTAGCTTTATAAAGTCGATTTATTTAAGTGTATAGTTATATAGAAAATCTTTTTAACTTCAGATCAATCTAATTATTAGAAAAGATTGTTTTATAATCATATGTTATTTTTCTAACTCCTCTATAATTTTTTAGGTGATGATAAATCCGAATGCCTCAACAAGTCTTACGTGCATAGATTTGATTGCGATTATATGGGTCTCTTTGGGTTCTTTCCTAACCGAGAAGATTTTTTAACTGTTGTCTGTGATGAATGTAATACATTATTAATACCACATAGAGTCAAGCAACATTTGTTGATTTATCATAAGAAGGATTCAACAGCTACTAAACCTATTCAAAATGATCTGTTCATTAAGCACAAAGAACATGAGCATAATGCATCTCCAAAGGTTCAGAAATTCAATCCTGATATTCACTGTGGCGTGGTATCGGAGGAGGATTCAAAGCCTTGCATGCATTCTTTGACTTGCAAGAGTCATTCATCATTTATGAGGCGCAGTGTTGCGGGCAGAAGCAAACCTTTCAGCAAGCTTCTTACAGAACTTTCACAACATCATCATATATCTACAAAGGAAACAAAGGCAAATGTAAGTTGGATTTGCTTCATTTATCTTTTATTCACACCACTCAGAAATATTTCGATGGTTCTATTCCATCATTGATCACCTATAATCTATTTTCCACTCACATTTTATCCATATGGTCATTCCAATCTTAATTATTATTAATGTAATAGCAAAGGATGTTTAAAATTTTTAATATCACCTGTTTCATAATGCAAATCAAAAATATCAAATCAATCCAATTAATTTTATAACAGTGCTGACAGATACAAGATTATATGGTGCTCTTTATACTTACATCAAATCTAATAATATAAAACTATAAATGAAATATACATAAAACAATGATAGACTTTAAGAGATAGTGTAGATATCATGTAATTAAGTATTTGGCTAATGTACAAGTTTATAAAGCCAATAAATCATAAAAAAAAAACTCTGCATACAATATAACTGTATTAAATGCTTTATGTTAAACAACTCTTCCCATTTATTATCTGTTTACTAATTTTTAAGTTTTTCATATTACTTCAAACAATTCACCTAGGTCTCCTAAATTTTTATATATGATGCTTTAATGCTGTTTACATAACTAATATTTATTTATTAGGCTGTTTCAAACTCTGCAAATAATGGGGGCAAGCATTCGGATGTTGTTAGTAAGAGCAATCACAATTCACTTTTGAAATCAAGTATCAAGCAGCATGAACCTCAGCCTGAGAACATATCTAATAAAAACCATGTAAGTGTGGCTAAATCCATCAGCAGCAATCATTCAGTAAGCAATGCAAATACATCAGGGCAAAAGAACTTGACATCACAGTCAGCAAGAAATATTCAAGAATCTGTGAAGGTAAAGATTTTGATTGCTGGTGTGTGGAAGATGTTTTAATATATAAATTTGATTTTTAGACGATTATTATAACTGGTAATGGCAAGAGTTCTGATACACAATATAGAGGAAATCATAGTACTGCTAGCTCAAAGTCAACTTTGTCATCAAAACTGTCTGGATCAGTATCTGACAGTCATTCCAGGAACGGCTCGGCATTATCTTCAGCTACTACAACAGTGGGCAGTTCTAATGGTGCTTTAAATATAAGTAGTTCTCACAAGGTAACATCACAATCCAGCAAAAGTCAAGAATCTACAAAATCCATGACAACTGTGAAGCTTGCCAAATCTAATTTTTCGTTACCTTTGACATTTCCTTTGTCTTGTATTACTGATCTTTCTTTACTTAAACCAAATGCATCATTACTTAAATCTGCTGTTGCATCAGTAGCAACGGTAGCAACACCGGTAGCGGCCCCTGTAAGTGCTTCAATTCCAAAAAAGCAGCCACAGGTTGTGAGCACAGCTCCAGTTACAGTCACAAATACGGCAAAAACCAGTGTCACTTCTTCGACATGCAATGCAATGACAAATACTGCCATTAATACCATGCATTTGAGAAATAATAACCACGTTTATCTAAACGTAATGTCTGTAGACTATGAACAAAATATACCTAAGCCCTCAGCTGTTTGCACATTTAATAGTAGAAAATTGAAAAACCAGTTAATATTCACACCAAAGGTTAGCTCATATAAGGAGGCCTTTGATCCTGTTATAAGTTATTTCAATAATATCCCTAATCAGCCTCATTCTAGACCACCGCTTGTTAGTAATTATAATTTAACAAATAGTATGAATGGCCCACATTCTGTGAATGGATACAATCACAATCCTCTCATGATGCAAATGCCTTCCACGCCTGTTTCTTCTTTGAAGCCTATGATAGGAGGAAAGCCTACTACGTATAGGCCCCTTTTGCCAAAATGCCCTCCCACAAGGGCTCACACGCCATACAGCTTTCAATATCAAAATGGTTATACGAATGGGGTCTCCTCACCGCCACCCTCATTAGCAGCAACTACCTCTTTAAAGAGACTGAATCCTTATAATGTAATGAACAATACTGATGAAGCAAAACAAAGTAGAACAAATTTGAGCTCGGCTTTTATTGTCGACGATGATGATGAATTGCCAAATGGTAAAACTGATCTGACAACATTGATGGAATTGGAATTTGATGAACCCTAATACTTATGCACTTTCATCTAGTTTATCATCAGCTTGAGGAACAGTTACTTTTAATAATTTAAGTGTAAATGTGCAAGTTGGGAGCCTGGCGCTCGTTCTAAATTTTGTGATACTTGCGATGTGAAGATGTCCATTCTCCGTAAGATGATGAGTATAAAGATTTGCAAACGTTCTCATTAAATATGTACATTTAATACTCACTATGTAGTCAGTTGTGTACGAATAATAAAAATTCTATTTTAGGACCTTACGATGTAAAAAATTGATTTTTATAAATATTTCATATTCATATCCATCTTTTTATTTTGTGTAGAGTGACATATATCTAAGGTTTACGAAATTAACCTTTTGTAACTGGTGATGAAAGTCTCGTTTCTGAAATGTTGTATACCTTCATGTTAAGAGTGTGCAAATGCATATGTAAATACTGAATGCTTGTTGGGGGCGAGAGTGAACAAGAATGGTAGTTTGATTTTCAATTGTGAAATTATGGAATTGTATAAAAAGTAATTAATGTTTTAGTTAATTGATTATGTCTAAAACTTATATATTATGGATCAATAATATCAATATAAAATTTGTAAATTGTAAATATTGTCTAATGTTTGGCCTATCTATTGTATAATTTATACTAAACATTAGATTTGCATCATTGTTTCTAACTTAAATTGATTATAGTTATTTACATTTATAAAACTCTTAATTGTGTGATGAGAATTCCGAAAAAAAATATTCTTTTTTTCTAAAAGACACTTAATATTAAATGGAGTAAATCACAAATAGACAATATATTATTGTATCTCTGTTTAAAATTATTTTAACCCTACGAATATAAAAGTGAGAACATAATTTATTTTCACGTTAATCAAGCCTTGAAGATATCCACAAATTTTGATAATATTTAATTTTTTATTTATAAGAAAATGTGTATATTTTAAGAAAATTAGTTCAATTGTTTTAATTTATTTTGTAAGTAAAAATAGTTTTATTATTTATATAGCATAAACTTACTTCCATTAGTGGATATTGTAAGAAATCTTAACTGATAGTGGATATTGTGAAAAATATTACAAACCCACTATGTGGGATTTTAAAATTCAATTATGAAAGATGAAGTATTTGATGATCATTGTTAATATTTATTTTAAGAAAGATATGTGCACTGCAAAATCATTTTTATTTTAACATGTAAATTTATATATAATTTGTTATAAATAAATTAAGAATTCTTTATGTACGATAATTAGGAAATTGAAAATTATGTTAATACAGTATTGATTTATGACTCACTGAAAATTTGTTTATTTCAAAATTTGTTTCTGAAAACTGCCAGTTTAATGCAAGCAGTGTTAGAGTTATGATTATGAAAATAAAACAAATTTTAATAATTGAATATTCTAATATTTTTGTATTATTTTATTATAATTGAAATTGATAAAAGGTGTATTTAAAAATTGCATCTTTGATATATGCTTATGGTTCTAAATTATAATCGTGATTGTATCAAAATAATGCTCTTTATTAACTAAGTAGTTAATTTGAACTTCTCGACATGTGTAAATAACCAACATATGCAATATGAAATCAATATATTATATTGAGTGTTACCAGTTTTAAGTATACCGAGTTGCTGCAGGAAATTATAATGTGAAAAACTATTGCAGAATATTTAATTTGGATCAATTTCTTAATCATGTTACTTATTTTGGAGAATTGGTTTCAATATTTAACATTGAAAAAAAAAAAATGCGTCTAATGCAAAGGCCCGCAATATCTTAGTATGTTCATTGAGACCAGGAACTCTTTCGCAATCAATTTTTTCCTAAAAATCGCAAAAAAAAATATTTATTTTGAAGATCAATTACGGCCCGATGGATCTTAAATTTACGAAAATGGTTCATTATTTTTTACAAAAATGTGGATTTTCGTACAATATGATCAAACATTGCACTTTTCTACTAATTGCAGAGAAACGGCTTGGCCGATCGGCAAAACTGACTGACACTAGTCCTTATTGAGTTACATCGAATGGCTTTTAAATTTTAGAAATTGGTTTAGCCGTTTTTAAGAAAACGTTGACGAGATCAAAAATCGACAAACACAGTCCAAATTTGGACTCAAACGATTCAGAATGACTTAAAAGACCGAGAAAACAGAACTAGCAAGTCTGATTTTTTGCGAAAGTAAACTTATCTTTCGGGATGTTAATTAATTAATGAGTTTAAATAATTTTTTTACGCGCTAAATTTTACGTTGCTAACGAAACACGTTCTTCAATTGTTTCTATTCACTTAGTGATTGATTGTTTATTAAACAAAAGCTAGCCGTATTCTTACATCTACTCCTTACAACTACAAATTATTGATTTGACCGAAAGTTTTGATAAATTCATTATTTTAATACGAAATGGAAAATTTTAGACCCGAAGTCGGTAGTTTAGAGCATCTGGCCGAGATTAATAATGCGGTAATCGCCTTGTCTGAGGCTGGTGTAGCAATTCAGCGTGAAACGGTGGAGGCCAGAAAACAGTTGCAAGAGATGCAAGATCGTATGAACGATGATGATACACTCGAACCCTTGCGAAAAATAGAGCGAAGTTCTTCGGCTAGAGGATTTAGATCTTCTAGGAGCAGGACACGACATAGAGTAAACCAAACTAATGAAATTCAATCGCAGAATAAGATGGAAGGGGCCAGGCACCCGTCGAATAACGAAAGAGGTACAGAGCTTGATGGTTCATCATTAAAAATATTTTTTTTATTATAAATTACAATCTGTCGTTATAAACAACATTCTGTAATTTTAACATTTATTATATAAGGGAAAAATTTAAAAGGTCACCCAGTGGTGAATGGTGATCCGTTTCGATGTTGATTATGTATGGAAAAAACCTAAATTAACTGATTTCTTTTTTGCGCACACAATAATCTTAATGAATTAATTAAATAATAAATGAAAATTTTAAAATAATTATTAATTTTTTTTAGTAATTCTCTAAATATTTTCTTATTATTATCATTTGCACCTATTCTATATTGAACATCAGCGAACTTTTGGTTGTACTTGGAAAATGTTTAAATGGAGTGCCACTCCATTGATTGGGCGTTATTTATGAACGGCTTTCAAAATTTTAGAAGTCATTCAATAAGCTAAAATTAAAAATAAAGTAACTCAATAAGGACTAGCGTTAGTCAGTTTTGCGCGACGATCGCCCGAGCTATTTGTTTGTAATTAGCAGAAAAATGTAAGCTTTCACGTTTTAGACCGCAATTTTAATTCGATTATGCGAATTCAAAAACTGTTCGAAAGGGAAGGGTTGATTGGGAATCGCGTTATGATTAGTATTAAGGCATTGAATTACCACTTTACTGCTGCCTTTGCCGTTATCTCTTTATAGAAAAACTAATTACTGCACTTTTAAAAACTTGTATACACTGTAATTATTAAAAGAATGAGAAACGCAATAGACATAAAATAGAAAAAAATTATTAAATGGTTGAGTAACTTGTGCAAGATTATTATATATATAATTACTTGATATGTGTTTAATCTCGCAACTTACTATAATATGCACTAATATCCGGTGTCTACAGAAAGTAAATAATATTGTAATTATATAAATATTGAAACGTAATTTTTAACAAAAATGATAATAAAAATATTTCAAAAGAATCCATAGCAATTAGAGTGTAGTGGAAATCGGCCTCGCGGTTTCTTAGTAATTAAACTTCTTTGACGATTTTGATGAAACATTGTATAACGATAGATTTTGCAGTCTGAAATAACATACTAAAATATTATAGGCCTACAATAAGCGGTTGAATTATAAAAATTCACCACAGTTTTCGTCGCGATTAACGTTCGTAGCTTACTGATTACAGTTGACGACCACACTTACATCAAATACTTTTTTCGAACACGTTGCGAAATTAAATGTGTTAAACAAATTATTTATATATTTATCATAAGAATGTTTGAAAAACATTAATTGCAAATCGTATTGATTAGTTTTTAGTGAAAGCAAAAATGTTATTTTTGAAATAAACAGTCGAATATTTTAATTAAATAGCTGAATCTCAATTCTTATAGTTGACTGTGTATACATTTTGGGAAGTACGTGCAACTTGCCTTAATGCTACTTACACCTATTTTACAAATTTTTAATTTATAAATTATTTTTTTTGAGTCAATTAAAAAAAATTTTGGCTATGGAGCACTTTTTTCTGGTGTTTTGGATCATTTTAAAATTTTTGCCGAAGAAATTATCTCTAGTAATCCTATTGTGTTTTAGATGGTGTGAATAACGAAAAGAAAATAGTCACTCGAGCCACACGTTCCCGCAGACAGAGGTCTCGCCGTGCAACAAAGCGCACTGCTCGCGTCCTGGCGCGTCCGACGCGTTCGGCGAGCATCGTGCAGGAATGGGATTTCCATTCCTCGAGCGATGGCCTGGCAACCCGCGACGCACAACGGCGACACTACGCCGAGGTACGAGCGCGAATTGAAGACAATACATTTTACGACTATAGAGAGGATGTGCCTTGCTCGTCAGCTCAGGCGACAGCCGCTGGAAGCGTACCGTGGAGAGATCGAAATTATCCCAGATCCGTTAGCCGAGCACCGAAAAGACGCAGGTGCCGGAGATCTTCCTCTATTTACCATAGTGCTGCTGATTCAGCCGACTCCGCCAGTAATAGAAACGTAAGATCGGTACAATAACTTAAGATACATTATGTTAAATGAAATTTATTCAGCTAACTTTCATCATTTAATAATACAGCTTTCCGTTGAACGTCTGCAGTCGGTATTGAATTCGGTCTTCCGAAATTCCGCTAATACTATAGATGAACAAGAGGTCACTCGCGATGTAGATGAGCAAGTGGAATACATGGACACGATGACGCCCCATTGGATAAAATCGTTTACGGGTTTGAAAATTTCGAGATCTGAGGAATATCAACCCCCTGTTAAGCGATCACAACGACGACAGTGGGAGATACATCCCAGTGTGGTCCCACAAAGCCCAGTAGATCGCAGTTTTAAGCACGGAAGTCCACGAGAATCTCGCAAGAGTCGACCTGTTGCAAAACTTTGCAGGTCCTCGACTATTGTACATAAAAAAGTCCATGGTCCTGAGGATTTGAGTGTGAGATTTAAAGACGCCAGCAAATCGAGTGGTGGTATCGTTGAAGATGGCGGAAGACAGCCGTTGTCCGATGTGGGAGAGTATATACCTGCTGGGGAATACCACGTGCAATCGAGAAATGGCAGTCCACCCGATTCCAAAAGAGGTTCGCCAACTGCCTCGATTTGGTCCCTTGCTGCTCCGTCCAGCGGACTCTATGAGGATGACTTGAGCCTAGGTGTCGTAAGCGATCTAGATGTCAACTTCTTAACCGACGAAGATTTTTAAATAATAATGAACTGCATGATTTATTTTTTTTTCAAAATTTTCTGTATACACGCAATTTGAATTAAAATATTTAAATAAAAATTTCAAGTTTTTAATGCGTTACTAATTACAATTACAATTAATTTTA